CCCCCCCCACCCCCCCCACCCCCCGCCTTAAAGGAGAGGGGCGGGGCCGGCAGGTACCTGGAGGCCTCCGGCTGGAGGCAGGGGCTGCACTTGACCGCGAACTCCGTCCTCCAGCGCCGGTGCCGCACCCGGAACACCTGGCCGAAGCCGCCGCTGGCCACCCGGCGCCAGTCGCCGTCGAAGTCGTCCTGGGTGAAGACGGCGAGGCTGCCCAGCCGCTGCTCCACGCCCGCGGCCATGGGGTCTGCGGCCGCAGGGCGCCCCCCGGCCGCGCGCTCTCCGCACCGAGGAGGCTCAGAGCCGGCTTCCCGCCGCCGCTGGGCTCCGGGGTGGGGCCGGCCGGCCAGGGGGTGGGGACCGACGGGGAGGCGCCGGGGCTCCCACGTCCCGCGCCAGGAGGGGCCGGTCCTGCCCTGCGATGGGCGGGGACACCCAAACCCGAGCCCTGAGGCCCCGGGAGGTGGTGGGGCCCGGCCTGGGAAGAGGGTACCCAGCCTCCAGGCATCCCTCGGGGCCCCTCCCCACCCCAGCCGCCTTGCTCGGTCTCAGCCTTCCGTTTGGACCCCAGCCCCCCCTTGGGGCTGGGGGAGGTGCCCGGAGAGGAAGCTTTCAGGGAAGCCAGCGAGGCGGGCCCTCTTGATTTCTACCCAGCCCTAAGTGGAAGGTGCTTCATTTACTCCTGCTCACACGAGCCAAGGATTTATGAAGGGGTGAAGACTGCGCTGGGGGTCTCTGCGGATAGATGTGGGGCCCGGAACCCGCCCGTCCACAGCAAGAATGGAGGAGAAAAAGTCGTAGTGGGGGTTTTCTGGTCTGATCTTTTGGCTTGCCTGGCTCCAAGCTGTCTTTCTTGTTGGGGTTTTTTGTCTTGTCTGTTTGTCAACCAGTCACGGTCTGCTAAACGTCAGCAAAGTGGGGTCAGCAAGAACAGTGGGGTGAAGGGGGTGTGTGTGCAGGGAGCTCCCCTTCCTGGCAGGTTCTCTGCGCCCCACCTTCAGAGGGATTGATTTAGGGTTGACCTTGGGGGAGGTGGACCCATTGGCAGAGCTACTGGGGTGGCTTGTTGCAGGGACCAGGGTGAGGCTCAGGGAGCAGCTGGAGCGTGACCTTGGAGGTGGGACCAGCTCAGAGCAGTGTCAGGGCTGTGGCAGAATCTGGCCCCCAGGGCTCAGTGCAGAAACTGGGGGAAGGAGGGGAGAAAACCCACCCGGAGGGGCAAACCTGGCTGCTGGAAGGAAGATGGGGAGCTTTCCCCGTAGGCAACGTTACCTTGGTCGGTGTTTAGGGGATACAAGTGAGGAGGCAGGACAGCTTCCCAGGACTGAGCCTGGCGGGTCCATGGAGTTGTACCCTCACTCAGGAGACCCACAGAGCAGGGAACGTTGAACAGGAAGGCAGGTGCTGCTGGGGGAACTCTCATGGGACACTGCAGGGTAGGTCACTTCCCACCTGCCCCTGGGCCGCAGGGAACCCCCAAGTGACCATCCTCAAGTTCAAGGAGCCCACCTACCACAGGAGGAAATGCCTTACCTCTGGCCCAAACCTGTAGAGCCTCTCACCCCCGACCTCTGGGAGACCCCCAGGGAATACTGGGGGTGTGGTGGGTGAGTAGACCCCAGTGGAAGCTGCTCTTTCCATAACAGTTGCTGTGCAAACCCCAGGTTGAGTTCTGGCAAGCAGGCTAAGGACAGAAGACGGGCCCAGGGACAGCTGTCCAAGGGACCAAGAGCCAACTGCTGAGCGTGAACTTTGTTCCAGGACCAGCATCAATTTTGCCCACTGTCCATACTTCACAGCTGTGATCTTGTGTGAACCCACAATGTTCGGAGAGCATAACCCACATAACCCACGAGGCTATGTCTTCCTGCTTACACATGAAGAAACTACGCTTGAAGACTTTAAGTAGTCAATGGCTATGTAACTGCTAAGTGGCAGTGGGGATTTGGAGCCAATCCCATTAGAAAAGCACTGGGCACAGGAGGAGTAGGGGGTAGCCTTTTAAGAATATGCGGGGACGTGGGGAATAGACTTGTGGTCTGGAAGAGTGTACGTGTGTTGGAATCTGCATCCGGCGTAGGACACGGACCCCGAAGGCATGGTCACAGGAAGGCTTGTGACCTGCTTTGGCTGGAGCAGGCAGGGCACACCCACACTTACTGCTTCTTAGGCAGCTCTGCCTGCCCCTGACAAGACTCAGACCCTCCCACAGGGAAGCTTGGAGGGTGACGGAGACATTATTGTTGGGGAGGTCAGGAGATCTGCTGGGCAGGTGAGAATGGAGATTGGGAGGGGGATCAGCCAGCCCGCTGGCCTTGAGAAAGGTTGACTCAGCCTCACATTTCTGCCCTTCGACACCATCTGCTGAGGCCACTGGAGGAAGTACCAGGGTCTAATGGCCTGAATCAGTCAAGGAAATTCCCCTTGGCCCTGGGAGAGAGGGCCAGAAGTTGCCAGTGGCCGTCGGTGGGGAGTGCTAAAGCAGCCGCTGTAGGAGGAGCCGCCCAGGGCTCAAGGCAGGCTGCCAGGGTCCCAAATACAACTCGTCTGTGAGTTTCTTTCCAGGGGTGGGGGTAGAAGGCCACGCAAGGCCAGGTTGGGTAACTGCTGACCCACTTGTTGAAACAGCCAAGCTGTGGGTTCAAGCAACCCTGAGACTTCTGAAGAATCTGGCAAAATAAATATGTGCACCTACTCACAGCAACAGGAGTCATTAGACCGGCTTGTGCCGCCCCCTTTATCTCCCTCACGTGGGCCGGGACGAAAGCCCAACACAGAGAAGTTCTAAGGGGAGGGGACTTTCCTGAGACTAAGGTCATAGAAGCAGAGAACTTCTAGATTCCCCGTTAAGTGGGTTGATGCTTGGGGATTTGAGAAGGAGCAAAGCATCTGGAAGCTGCTTCATTCTTTTTTTTTTTTTTTTAATATTTTTATTTATTTCTAGGAGAGAGAGAGACAGCGTGAGGAGGGGAGGGTCAGAGAGAGAGGGAGTCACAGACTGAAACAGGCTCCAGGCTCTGAGCTGGCAGTCAGCACAGAGCCCGACGCAGGGCTCGAACCCACGAACCGCGAGATCATGACCTAAGTGAAAGTCGGACGCTTAACCGACTAAACCACCCAGGCACCCCTGGAAGCTGCTTCATTCTTTCCGGAGGTCTGATGCAGAAGTCCCTGGGGCCTGCCTGGCTGGGAAGTCTGTGACCAGGGGTAGAGAGGGAGCACACCACCTTCACCTATGCTCCTCCCATGAATGGGAATGAACTAGACAGGTATAGTCCGACCATGATGTGAACCCACCGGAAGGGGCAGGAAGTATGTTCTAGCCACAAGAATTTTGCCACCGGATGCTGAGTCCTTTCTATTGCTCTCTATCAATGTATTTTAGTTTAGCAGATCGCGGACAGAAATTCTCTGGACTTGGAGTTATTATGTGAAGTGTGTGTGTGTGTGTGTGTGTGTGTGTGTGTGTGTGTGTTTGGGGGCCTGAAATCTTCAGCTTGCCACCCCCAGACGAGTGAGCTGATGGGGCAGTTCTGCAGTCCTCTGGAAGATGTTGAAATCCAACGTGAGCCTTTCCCCAAACCGGAATGACAAGCTCTTTGCATACAGGGACATCCCCCATTCTGTCCCCATTCTCCACCCTGCAAACGTGTCACAAGACATCTGCACAAGTCTTAGCAGGCTCCCAACTCTACGAGCTTGTGTACTGAGGTGAGGCCGGGCTGCTCAAGGTGAAGGAATGTGTGTCAGAAGCCAGAATGCCTGCCCAGGAAGCAAGGCTGTCCCAGAAAGGAAGGATGAAATCCAAGCAGTGGGAGCAGGGGTTAAATGCAAGAACAAAGGAGTCAATTAGACCTGCGTTCAAAACCTGGCTTTTCCCCGCCGCCCACTGGCCACTGGGCCTTCGTCAACATTCCCAACTCTCTGTGGGTTTCTCCATCTGTAAAACAGGATGATAATATAATACCCACTTCAAAAGGTTGTGGTAAGAATTAACCTTTAAAAACACACCTAAGTGAACACCCGTAGGCAAAAAACACAATAAAACACAAAAAACCCAAGCCCCACCCAAAATCCCAAACCTCACACATTATCCAAAAATTAACTTAAAGTGAACTGCGGACTTAACTATAAAATGTAAAACTATAACATTTTCAGAAAATAAATAGCTGAAAATCTTCTGGACCTAGGGCAAGCAGAGAGTTCTTAGGCTGAACACTAAAGGCACAATCCATGAAGGAAATGTTGATAAATTGGATTTACTCAAAATGAAACACTTTCACTCTATGGAAGATCCTGTGAAGAGAAAGAAAAGTCAAGGTACAGATAGAGAGAAAATATTTACAAACCAGATATTCGACAATCTGGTAGTTTTCTAGAATGCGTAAAGAACCTCCCCCAAACTCCACAGAAATAAAATGACAGGCTATAGAATTAAATATGAAGGAAAGACGTGAATAGGCATTTCACTGGAGAGGGTACACAGGTAGCAAATATGTGCATGGAAAGACAGCATCAAGAAAATGCCAACTGAGGGGCGCCTGGGTGGCTCAGTCGGTTAAGCGTCCAACTTCGGCTCAGGTCATGATCTCATGGTTCGTGGGTTCGAGCCCCGCATCAGGCTCTGTGCTGACAGCTAGCTCAGAGCCTGGAGCCTGCTTCGAATTCTGTCTCCTTCTCTCTCTCTGACCCTCCCCTGCTTACACTGTCTCTCTCTCTCTCTCTCTCTCTCTCTCTCAGAAATAAATAAAAATTAAAAAAAAAAGAAAATGTCAACTGAAACCACAAGGAGATATCACTGTATGTCCATGAGATTGGCCAATTTTATTTTATGAGAGAGAGAGAGAGAGAGAGAGAGAGAGAGAGAGAAGCCCTGGGATCATGATCTGATCTGAATCAAGAGTTGGGCACTCAACCCACTGGGCCACCCAAGGAGCCCCATATTTTTTTAAAGTGACACCACCAAATGCTGGTGAGGATACAGAGGAACTGAGCCATTCATATTTTGGAGGTGGGGATGTACAATGGCACAGCCACTTTAGAAAACAGTATGGCAGTGTCTTATAAAACTAAACATACAAATTAGCATACAACCCAGCAATGGCATTCTTGGGCATCCACCCCAGAGGAATGAAAACATGTTCCCACGGAAACCATAACATGAATATTTATAGCAACTTTATTCGTTATAGCTAGAACCTGGAAAGAGCCTGGATGTCCTTTAGCAAGCGAATGCTGCCGTGGAGTGGGGAGGCTGGCAGTGGGGATGCTGAGCAGCAGTACCACTCAGCATCAATGACG